TCTTGACTTATTTTTGCTCCTAAAAATAAATATAAATTGTGATGTCCATCACTGAACTTCACAACTTTCAGTCCGTGTGCAAATTTCTAGCTTGACACTACTGTTTTTCATTTATAACTATTTCAAGAGCTGGGGATTATAGCTCAGCAGCACAAGTGCTTCCTGCCTGGCAAGTGCAAGGTCCTGAGTTAGACTCCTGGTACCAAAAAAAAAAAAAAAAAACAAACAAACAAAAAAAAAACATTTCAGAGTTACCCTGATCAACCAGTGTTAATAGTGATAATTATGAAAATAAAATGTACAGGTACTATCAGTTACATCCTTAACTAACCAGACACAATCTCAGAAATAGTTCAGAAAACTGAGTAATTTCCCACCTATATGATGATGATTCCCAAGTCCTTGTTTTCAGCCTAGAACCCTGTTTGTGTGTGTGTGTGTGTGTGTGTGTGTGTGTGTGTGTGTGTGTGTGGTGCTACCGGGGAATGAACCCATGACCTACACACTGACACTCCCCCTTACTTTAGGACAATAGTACATTGCTAAGTTAGTCAGGCTGGGCTCCAATTTAGGACCCTTCTGACTCAGCCTCCCAAGTCCTGAGACTACAAGCATGAGCTACTGTACCCTGAACATAGATTGTATTTTGCAATAATTTGAAAACAACTGTGGAAATCTAAGAGAGAAAAATTCACACCTAAATATAACTGTAATATTGAAAGAATGCCTTTAGCATCACTAATCAATAGGGAAATGCACATCAAAACCACAGTGGGATACCATTTTACACTCATTAGGATGGCTATTATAAAACAAAACAAAACCAGGGGCCAGGATGTAGAGAAGCTGGAACACTCCTGTATTGCTGGTAGGGGTGTTAAATGGTACAGGCCCAATGGAAAATGGTTCTTTTTTGAGTGGTTCCTTAAAAACTTAAACATACATATGCTATTTCACCAGTAATTCCACTCCTGGCTATATGTCCTGAAGAACTGAAAAGCAGAGACTCAAAAAAATATTTCTATACCCATGTTCACACCAGCAAGATTCACAACAATCAAAAGATGGAAACAATCCAAATGATCATAGATGGAACAATGGATAAATAAAATGATATATGCATACAATGGAATTTGGCCTTAAAAGGTAAAGAAATCTGGTCATACACGCTATGGTTTGAATGTGCCTCCTCAAAATTCATGTTTAAATCCTAACCCTCAATGTGATGGTCTTAGGTGGTCCCTTTGGGGTTGATTAGGTCACAAGAACAGAGATCTCATGAATGGGATTAGTGCTTTTAAAAAGAGGCCCGGGAAAGGCTCATTTTACCTCTCTATCATGTGAGCACACAGCTAGAAGGCACTGTCCGTGAACCAGAAAACAGACCCACACCAGACTACAGAATCTTCCAGTATCTTGATTTTGGGCTTTCTAGCCTCCTGAACTGTGAGGAATAAGCTTCTCTTGTCTATAAGATACCCAGTTTGGGGCATTTTGATATAGCAACCTGAACAGAGTAAGACAACACGCTACCACTTGGACAAAACCTAAAGGTTGTAATTAATGAAATAAGCACAGTCAGTGCTATAAAATGGAAAAAGTTCTAGAGATGGACAGTGGTAACAGCTGCACAAAATGGATGCTCTTAACACTATGAAACTGTGCAGTTGAAAATGATGAAAATGGGCCCCAGGGCTCAGACCCATCCTACCAGTTAGTCTAACAGGAATGAGGGGGTCCTGGGGCATACTCTGCCTTCTCCCTCTGGCCAGACTGTCATCTCCATGGAGGAGCCCTGGGTAATCATGACTGTAGAGGAAAAACAAAACAGCCTGTTGCTAGACACAGGTGCAAGTCTCTCGGTCCTCCTTTTCAGTCCTGGCCTTCCTTCCAGCCATCACACCTCAGTGAAAGGAGTTACTGGTGAGGAGGTAATATGCTATTTTTCACAACCCTTAGGCTGTAACTACTTGTTAGATCTTTCTTGCATATCTCTGTCTTCCTGAGAAACCACTTTGAAGATACCACCATGTATTTCAGCAACCATTGATATTTTCCTAGTAATCTGTCCATAACTCTATAATGTTTATATTGTTCCTATGCTATTTCATAAATGGATGCATGTTTATTACTATGTGTTTCCTACAACAACCATTGAGAATAGCCAATGAATATTCAATTGGTCGCTCATGTATAGCTCTATTTATTTTCTTGAGAAACCACTTTGAAGATAACAAAGTGTAGTACAACCGCTGATAATAACCTTCCACTTTTGTCTGTAACTCACTATTATTTGTCTATTTGTTTTCCTGAGAAACTATCTTGTAGATAACAATATGTAAAACAACAACCATTGATAATTTCCTACTACTTTGTCTGTAATTAGGTAAGCCCCCCTCTTACTACGTTGTCCTTCTTTTACTCTTTAAAATAATAATAAAAAAAAGAAAATGATGAAAATAGCAAAGTTTTGTGTTGTGTATATTTTATATTGCAAAGAAGAGGAAGTGTCAACATCAACAAACCCTTGTTCAGGCAATAACACTAGTTACATGGGAATCAGACTATTAGAGTATCATCAATTGAATTATAACAAAGTGTGCATAATTTAACTTTTTCTTTTCTAACTCAATTAAGAGGCTGGGGATATAGCTCAGTGGCATAAGTGCCTACCTAGGAAGCGCAAGGTCCTGAGTTTGATTCCTGGTACCAAAAAAAAAAAAAAAGACTCATTTAACTCAATTAAAAGTAAATCCTTTAAAATTACGATAGAACACAATTTACATAGTTGATCTCAGATAGCTACAGATTTTTTCTTCACTTTGGCAATCAGAAAAAGGCATATTCCTTTACAAGCTGTCCTTGCCCTCCAGCAAACTCAAAAGTCCCCAGGATCCTCTCTAAGTAATCTCCCTAATCTTTCACCTGTATTATGATGGTCCCCAAGTCATTGTTTCTGTCCTAGAAGCTTGTTCGCGTGTGTGTGTGTGTGTGTGTGTGTGTGTGTGTGTGTGTACTGTTACTGGGGACCGAACCCAGGGCCTTCACACTGAGCTCCAGCTCCCACTACATTATTTTACAACAGGATCTTTCTAAGTTGCCTAGGCTAGGCACCAATTCATGATCTTCCTGCTTCAGCCTCCAAAGTCCTGGGACTTCAGGCATGAGGCACTACAGCCAGCTTGTTCATAACTCCAGACCCAGTTGGTCAGCTACCTGCTGAGTCCCTCCTCCCAGAGTTACTGGGAATATCAGCTTCAGTGTAGCTGATATTCCACCTCACTTTCCTCACTTCCTCCTACCCTCCGCTGGCCCTCCTTCAGGGTTCTCCTCTCAGTGAGGAGCACCTCTGCTTGTTCCATTATCCAGCTACCCAAGCCTCAGTTGTTCTAGCTGACCTAGCCTTCATCTTCACCAGATGCTTCCCACAAGCCACCCAGCACTGCTGTCTTTCCTTCCTGCCTCTCCAGCCCCTCCCCTTTTCTCCATTATGGCTGTCCCTGCCATGGTTCAGGCTCTCAGCTTCTCCCCGCCCCCACCCCCAAAGCACGTACACACTGCTGTAGAGCAAACTAGCTACTCTTGGCAGCCACTGAATTGCAATCCTTCATCTCTTCCCGTGGGTTAAAACCCATACTCTCTAGCAGGCAGCAAGGTCTTAACTGATTTTCCACAGAGCTTGCTTCTGTTTGGGGTGCCTCACACTGTGTGTCATTCAAAGAGCATTCACACTGGGTAAATCTCAGTTGAATCAATCTTGATCATCAGTTTTTTCAGTGTGGTCTTACTTCCTTTACAGTCTTTTCTTCCAACGTCTTCCCATACCCTTCGCGCCAGTCATGCCGCACAGCTCATGTTTTTCCTGGGCAGGATAAGCTATTCTCGCCTCCTTGTCTTCGCACTGAGTGTAGATGACTTACTGCCCAAGAACTCAGTTACCATGTATGATCCTGAGCAAAGTACTTAATCTCATTAGGCTTCAGATTCGGCATCTGTAGAGTAGAGCAGATATCTACTTTGCAAAGGTATAGTGAGGATAAGATGTACAAAAGCAGTTTGTAAATCCTAAATGCACTATAAAATGCTATTTCATAATGTATCAAAGTCTATCTGAAATACTACCACCCACAAGGAGCCTTTTTAATATCCGCAGCAGAAACTATTTCCCTCTTCTTGGAAGGTCCACCAAACACACCCTAAAGGCCCTCATGGCTTTCATCAACACTTCTTAAGTTATCCAAGTTATGTGTCATATTTACAACCAGACCATGAACTCTATTCACCCTACTCTACAGTTCTCCTTCCACCCCATTGAACTCTCAAGGGTCTTGGAATATTTCAAAGGAGAAAAGTCTGAGATTTGAGGAGGTAGAGATAAAATTTCCACAGTGAAGCATCATTTGGGCTGTCTCTTAGAATCTCAGATCCATCATGTGATGAAGAATCTATTTAGCAACAACAGCCTGCTGAGCTAGAATGACAATAACTAGCCAACCTGGCACCCTTCCTCATGCCTTGCGAGTTGATGGGACTTGAAGGGGGCAGTCAAACCCTGGCTGCCAATTCATGTTAGGCTATTGTGAAGACAAATGCCCAGCTTATAGCAATGCAGAGCAATTTTGTCCCAAACTTAAAGGTCAGAGATATCCAAAGGCATCTATCTCAGAAACCCCAAGAGCCCTTCTGACAGGGGAAAGCTCCCCGGGCTCTCGGTTTCCTCTGAAAACCCCCACCTCAGTTTCCTTAGTGCTCAGCCATTTGTGTCTTACAGGGCTCTTTTTCTTCCTGAAAAGCAGCCAACACAGTGTCTGCCTCCGCTCCCCAACAAAGGGCTTATGTGTAATTAAAAGGGATTATGTTTGGAGGGGAAAACTAGCCTCTAATCACCAGGAGAAGGACACGGCAGCCTGAGCCAGAGTTGCTCTGAGTGACATTTCTGTTGCTTGCTGTCCATGAGTCTCAGCTCTGGGTGACCCCCCGGCCCTGCTGCGGCCACCAGCATGGGCTTCGCCAGACAGATACAGCTTTTGCTCTGGAAGAACTGGACCCTGAGGAAAAGGCAAAAGGTAATAGCTGCTGTCTGGCATCTAGGTGGGAGTGGTGGCGCAGTCAACAGGTGGAAAGCATGGGGAAGTGGGTGGGTCAGGAGGAGGGGCTGTGAGGAGCTGTGGGCTTGTGGCCACTCAACTCTGAAGCAGTGTTCAGCGGTTTGGCCTCTCTGGGAGCCGCTCTGACAAGCGCCCCGCACAGGATGACCTGTTCTTCTGTCCTTGGCCACATCACAGTCTCTGCCCCTCCTCCTACGAGTGCGCTCCTTGCCTTTCCCCCTGTGCCCCCAGCCCATGTTCCTGAGCACCCACACTACACAGCGAGGAGAACGCTGACCTCTGAAGAGCAGGCTCAAAGCTCAACAAGAAGTCTCTATTGAGCTGCCCAGCTCAGTAGCTGTGTCACTGGTTCCGGGAGGCACTCTGTGTTCTCACATTTTAAAGTATCTGAAATCGGAATGCGGCTGACAGTCAAGTCACAGTTTAACCAGATACATTTTTTTCTTTCTTTGTGGTGCAGGGAAGTAACAGTGCATCTTAGAATTGACAGCCTCTTAGATTTAGTAAGTGCAATGCTTTACTAACTATCACAGACATTTCCTGAGCCTCTTCAATGAACAAACAGGGGGCTGGGCTGGAGAAAGGGCCTAAAAGCATATGACCCAGATTTCCCCTTGGCCTGGCTTCTGTAATGGCTAGGAAAATGTGAAATATGTTTTGAGATCCAGAGCAATATAAAATGGCAAAGCTCAGGTGTCCTCTGAGAAATGCAAGCAAGAATCAGAGGAGGCCAGGGAACCCCAAAATGTAATATAAATGCAACTGGCCTTTGCGTACTCTTTCTGGGAGGGGTTAAGGACTGAGAATACAAATATAAAGCAATAATGTACTTTGCTACAGCCTTGCAGGGTCCTGCAGACATCAAGGATCTTGAGGAGAAGAGAGGGGGGACTTAAGGAGGGGGCAAAGGGAGAGGGTAAGGCTGAGGGCTAGGGCAGGCTGAGATGGGAAAGATGGAAAAACAGGAGACTGGGAGGAGGACAGGAAGGGAGACCAGCTGTAGGGAAGAACTGAATGACATTTGTCCCAAACCTCAGTTCATTTCAGGATGGTTTAATGTAGGGGTTTTCCAGGCTACAGGAATGTGAGAGAACATGGGCCAGCTGCTGGTGGAGGACCCAAACTGAAGCCCTGGGCAGGGTCTACGCAGACAGAGCTGAATATAGAAAGGGGTTAGCTAAGCACGAAGCTTGGCAGCTGAGAGGGTGACAGAAAACTCCAAGGTGTCCTGGAGGTAGAATTGCAGGACTCAGCTACTACCCTAGAGCAGAGAGAAACTCCAGGAGGAAAGTAGAATTATTAAGACAAAGCAAAGAGCTGAAAGTGAGGATTTGTGAGGAGGCTGCCCAGGGCCTCTGAGGCTGGTCTCAGGCCCAAACCCAACCCTGGCTGCTGAGTTTGAAACCAAGAGATGGTGTTGTAAGAATCAGCACAAAAAGGAGCTGAATGGGACGCGCTGCACCGTGCACATGGACGGGTCGAAGGCCTGTGCATGGCCGGCAGGACAAAGGCTGCAAGGGAAGGAGGCCAAGTTAGAACTCGCTCATCTGCGGAGGACATCATTGTCCTCCAGCTGCTCTACTCTGCCAGGGTGCTGTCATTCCAAGTGATGCTTGAAGTTATTAGTGGTCCCCAGGAACCAAGTACCAACATAATCAAAGGCTCAGTCCCTGCCAGGAGCTTTCCTTCTTCCAAATGAACATATTACAAAGAAGACTCATAGTTACATTTATTCATTATTTTCACTCTTCTGTCAGTCAATTAACCACCTTTAGCAGGCAATGCCAGGTGCTGAGTACACCATGGCAAATAAATGATCCAGTCCCTGTCCACGTGATGCATGTAGCCTGTGGACCGCCAAGGGATATTCAGTATGTCATTGCTTTCTGTCTCTCTGTCTTTCTCTAGCATCTCTTTCTCTGCCTGTCTCTCCCTACCCCTGTCTTGCCTCCTCCCTGTCTTCCCCCTCCATCCTCTAAGGAAGTAAAATTCATAGTTCATTTCACTCTCAATGCACACTTTGTGGATCTCAAAAAATATACTGAGCCTTGCAGCTGCTGACCTTTGCATGCTGCCGTTACAAAGAAGAACTCCCTTTCCAGAGACAGGTTTGGCGCAGGTGCCCTCGGGTCTGCTGTCTTGCCCTGGCATCCATACATGTCCCCTGTTCAGGAACTCTGTCTTCTCCACAGTGTGCTCCCTACTGGGCTGGAGCCATACAGGCTGTGAACCTTGGCTTGAGGCCACCCCCCCGCCCCACTGACAGGGCCCAGTCTGGGCCGGCCATCCTTGGATGCTGTCCTGATGGCCCGGCGAGGGAGATCTCTGCTGTGCCTCCCCATGGCCGCCATATCTAGGAGTTTCCAGCATGCCCGGGCAAGATGAAGGCATCCTTCAGGGCCCCCAGCAGCTCTGAGATGGGTCTGTGGCTCCTTCCAAAGCTTTTGGCTCTTATTGGAACTTCTGCCTTTAGAAAATGCTTATTAGAAGAATATTACACATTCAGCCCATAACTTAGCTCCTAGGTTTTTAATTTCCCAAGTTTCCATGGTTTTAGGAATTTACTATTGTGAGCAGAGTAGGTGAAAACACATACCAAGCTCCCCATTCCTCCTCTTCCAATCCCAAAGGCATAATATGGAAGTCCTCAGGTTCCCGCCCTCCACCCTCTTTTTCTTCCCTCTGTTAACATTTATCAAAAGTATTACTAAGACCCTGGCACAGAACTATATCCATTACTTCATTTAACACACAACAGTTCCAGGAAAGAGAGGCTTCACTGTCCCTGTGGGTGTGGCTGAGGCAAATGAGGCTTGCAGGGAGGGCTAGTGACTGGTGGGTTGGGCCTCGGTTTCCAGCCATGTGTGATACCAGACAGGCAGACACGGCCATTGCCCCACACTGCTCCGTCTCCAGCCCTACCTTACAAGTTGGTCATGGAGATCACCAAGGTAGAGTGGCCAGATTATTTATCATCCACCAGGACAACAGATGCAAACTTAATACTGCAACTGGCAGACTGAGGGACATGTTCACCCTATACCAACGTGAACTGTCATAGCTCCCGCCCTCGTGGAATTCAGAGAGGGCAGGCGGATGCTCCCCTGCATAATTACGGAGCAGAATCATGAGTGCAGCTGTAGAGTAGAAGGAACACAGATAGAGGCTGGGACAGGGGTTGTTCTGGGAACTGAGAGGAGACCTAGGGTAGAGAGAGAGCTTACGCATCCACATTATTCCCCATGACGAGGGGCTGGGAATATAGCTCAGTGGCACAAGTGCCTGTCTAGCAAGCGTAAGGTCCTGAGTTCAATTCCCGTTACAAAAAAAAAAAAAAAAAACATTCCCCATGATGAGAGGGTTCCTACTGCAAGGCACAAACACACACCACCCACAATGGCTGCAGACCAGGCCCCTGAGCAGGGAGGCTTTTAAACATCATTAGCTATGTCTCTTGCTCTTGAGAACTCACAGCCAGGACCCTTTGGTATCACCTCCTGGTTCCCACTTCTAGGTCACAACTGGGTATTGGGAGAAGGCTTGAGGACTTATCAGAGTAGGGGGGGTCATCATTTCCTGGACTGCAGACCCAAGCTGTGGCCCTCAGTTCTGGGCCCAGCACCAAGGGACAAGAACGTGGCAGGTGCAGGGAGGCTGAGCAGCCGGCTCCAGGTGCACCCAGGTACTGGTGGTATCGCTCAGGCTGAGCCCAGTCTGGGTTCTTGGTGCAGAAAGGAGCTCACTTTGTGCCCTGGCTGCCCCTTTTGAAATTGAAAACAGAGAGGGAGGGAGGAAAATCTGACTGGCTAAGTTTTAAAACAAGCACAACACTGCCCTTGCTGGACCTTCCTCCCCCATGTAGACTGAATGGTCAAGAGAGGAGGGGCGGGGGAGAGGGGGACAAGGAAATACCAGTTTGGTGAAAAAAAATTTCCACAGACCCCTTCTGAGCTTGGACTGGGCTTAATTAAAGTTACAGACATGTTTAAAGGGAAGGGCTAGGGGAGTCCAGCCGCTCTGAAGACATGTTTTTAATTATACTGTGGAATTTCTCCCTAGGGTACGCCTGTACACAGTTGAGCGTCAAGGACAAGGATGCCGCTCTGGGGTGGGTTGGGGGTGCAGAGCAGGAGTGGGGGGAGGGGGAAAGCTGCTCTGAGGACCCGCAGGGCTGGGGAAAGAACGGCTGGTGGTCTCTGTGCAGGGAGTACATTGTGAGGTGCCACTGCTCCAAATCACACACTCGCAATTCGAGCAATAACACTGATCTATCCACAGGTGTTTTCCCAAGATTACGAGCCACTACCTAGATCAGTGGCTCTCAGCCTGGGCTGCATATTTTGGAATTACCAAGCAGTGCTGAAAAAAAAAATCTTCATGTCCAATGGGGCATGGCCGGAGAAGCCCACATGACTCCAGGTTGAGGGCAGGGATTACTGGCAGAAAACAGCAGCCCTAATTCACAGATGTGAAAAGGGACACAGGCAGGGCAGTACCAGTCTTAGAACCAGGGAGTGAAGGAAGAAAGGATTCTGATCCTGCCTCCCCCATGGAGGACTGTAAAACACAGTGCCTTGCATAGACCAGACACTTCTGAACTACAAGCTTAAGCAAGTGCCTGGAGAAGTGTGACTGGCATTTCCTAGAGGGATAGGATGTACCAGAGTGGGTTTGGAAATCTCACCTTGGGACATGGAGGCAAGATTAACCCACCCCCAACCCCTGCAAACCCCTCTTTATATACAGAGCAGGGGATGGTGTGTCGTTCGTTTCTCAGGTAGTTGCACAATTCTGAATCCAGAGATAAATGGAGGTCAGGCCTAAGAGGTTGCAGATAATTTAACAGTATTTCTTTGTTTATCTGAATGTAAAATGTGTTGTCACTTTCAGTGCCTATGTGACCCTTAGGATAACTATGAGACAGTGATAAATGGCCCTCCTTTAGTGAGTGTTACTTT